CTTTGCTATCAAGGAGAGACTCTGTCAACTTGAGCTTCTCATCCAGCTTCTCCAATTCTTCAGTGAGCTGCCATCAGAATGTAACAATCAGCAATCATGTTGACAAACGGAGAACAAACATTGATCTTTAAAATTAAAAAATAATAATTGCTTGGTTTTCCCTAGCTAGTTGATGCAGCAGTGAGGAGAGGTGTTGATATCCTTTGCGTCCAAGAAACCAAATGGAGAGGACAGAAGGCGAAGGAGGTGGAGGATACCGGCTTCAAGTTGTGGTACACGGGGACGGCTGCAAACAGAAATGGCGTAGGCATCTTGATCAACAAGAGCCTCAAGTATGGAGTGGTAGACGTCAGGAGACGTGGGGACCGGATTATCCTGGTCAAGCTGGTAGCTGAGGACTTGGTTCTCAATGTTATCAGCGCATATGCCCCGCAAGTAGGCCACAATGAGAACACCAAGAGGGAGTTCTGGGAAGGCTTGGAAGACATGGTTAGGAGTGTACCGATTGGTGAGAAGCTCTTCATAGGAGGAGACCTCAATGGCCACGTGGGTACATCTAACACAGGTTTTGAAGGGGCACATGGGGGCTTTGGCTATGGCATCAGGAATCAAGAAGGAGAAGATGTCTTAAGCTTTGCTCTAGCCTACAACATGATTGTAGCTAACACCCTCTTTAGAAAGAGAGAATCACATCTGGTGACTTTTAGTAGTGGCCAACACTCTAGCCAGATTGATTTCATCCTCTCGAGAAGAGAAGATAGGCGTGCGTGCCTAGACTGTAAGGTGATACCTGGGGAGAGTGTTGTACCCCAGCATAAGCTGGTGGTTGCTGACTTCCGCTTTCGGATTCGTGTCCAGCGGGATAAGCGTGCCAAGGTCGCTAGAACGAAGTGGTGGAAGCTCAAGGGGGAGGTAGCTCAGGTGTTCAAGGAGAGGGTATTTAAGGAGGGCCCTTGGGAGGAAGGAGGGGATGCGGACAATGTGTGGATGAAGATGGCGACTTGCATTCGTAAGGTGGCCTCGGAGGAGTTTGGAGTGTCCAGGGGAAGGAGAAGCGAAGATAAGGATACCTGGTGGTGGAATGATGATGTCCAGAAGGCGCTTAAAGAGAAGAAAGATTGCTTCAGACGCCTATACCTGGATAGGAGTGCAGACGACATAGAGAAGTAAAAGATGGCGAAGAAGGCCGCAAAGCGAGCTGTTGGTGAAGCAAGGGGTCGGGCATATGAGGACCTCTACCAACGGTTAGGCACGAAGGAAGGTGAAAGGGACATCTATAAGATGGCTAAGATCCGGGAGAGGAAGACGAGGGATATTGGCCAAGTCAAATGCATCAAGGACGGAGCAGGCCAACTCTTGGTGAAGGACGAAGAGATTAAGCATAGATGGCGGGAGTACTTCGACAAGCTGTTCAATGGGGAGAATGAGAGTTCTACCATTGAACTGAATGACTCCTTTGATGAGACCAGCATGCGTTTGTGCGGCGCATCCAGGAGTCTGAGGTGAAGGAGGCTTTAAAAAGGATGAAAGGAGGCAAGGCGATGGGCCCTGATTGTATCCCCATTGAGGTGTGGAAAGGTCTCGGGGACATAGCGATAGTATGGCTAACCAAGCTTTTCAACCTCATTTTTCGGGCAAACAAGATGCCAGAAGAATGGAGACGGAGTATATTAGTACCAATCTTCAAGAACAAGGGGGATGTTCAGAGTTGTACTAATTACCGTGGAATTAAGCTGATGAGCCATACAATGAAGCTATGGGAGAGAGTCATTGAGCACCGCTTAAGAAGAATGACAAGCGTGACCAAAAATCAGTTTGGTTTCATGCCTGGGAGGTCGACCATGGAAGCCATTTTCTTGGTACGACAACTTGTGGAGAGATATAGGGAGCATAAGAAGGACTTGCATATGGTGTTCATTGACTTGGGGAAGGCCTATGATAAGATACCGCGGAATGTCATGTGGTGGGCCTTGGAGAAACACAAAGTCCCAGCAAAGTACATTACCCTCATCAAGGACATGTACAATAATGTTGTGACAAGTGTTCGAACAAGTGATGTCGACACCGATGACTTCCCGATTAAGATAGGACTGCATCAGGGGTCAGCTTTGAGCCCTTATCTTTTTGCATTGGTGATGGATGAGGTCACAAGGGGTATACAAGGAGATATCCCATGGTGTATGCTCTTTGCGGATGATGTGGTGCTAGTTGACGATAGTCGGACGGGGGTAAATAGGAAGTTAGAGTTATGGAGACAAACCTTGGAATCGAAAGGGTTTAGGCTTAGTAGAACTAAAACCGAGTACATGATGTGCGGTTTCAGTACTACTAGCTGTGAGGAGGAGGAGGTTAGCCTTGATGGCCAGGTGGTACCTCGGAAGGACACCTTTCGGTATTTGGGGTCAATGTTGCAGGAGGATGGGGGTATTGATGAAGATGTGAACCATCGAATCAAAGCCGGATGGATGAAGTGGCGCCAAGCTTCTGGCATTCTCTGTGACAAGAGAGTGCCACAAAAGCTAAAAGGCAAGTTCTACAGGACGGCGGTTCGACCCGCAATGTTGTATGGCGCAGAGTGTTGGCCGACTAAAAGGCGACATGTTCAACAGTTAGGTGTGGCGGAGATGCGTATGTTGAGATGGATGTGTGGCCACACGAGGAAGGATCGAGTCTGGAATGATGATATACGAGATAGAGTTGGGGTAGCACCAATTGAGGAGAAGCTTGTCCAACATCGTTTGAGATGGTTTGGGCATATTCAGCGCAGGCCTCCAGAAGCTCCAGTGCATAGCGGACAGCTAAAGCGTGCGGAGAATGTCAAGAGAGGGCGGGGTCGACCGATTTTGACATGGGAGGAGTCCGTTAAGAGAGACCTGAAGGATTGGAGTATCGACAAAGAGCTAGCTATGGACAGGGGTGCGTGGAAGCTTGCTATCCATGTGCCAGAGCCATGAGTTGGTTGCGAGATCTTATGGGTTTCACCTCTAGCCTACCCCAACTTGTTTGGGACTAAAGGCTTTGTTGTTGTTGTTGTTGTTGTTGCTTGGTTTTCCCTAGTTCTGTTCATGGGAATATTCCAATTTTCATTATGACAACAAGCAAAAGTAACATATGCATTAGTGCTAGTGTTGGTATGTGTGTCAGGTTATCTTAACAAACCTTAGTGATTGTAAGTACTGGGTTAAAATTTCCTTGAGGGACACTTCAATCAGAAATAGTCAAAAGGGGGCCACAGAGATAGCTTATTATCCAATTAAAAATGAGCATAGTAAGTTAACTTTCATTTGACAAATAAGCAGTGTCTGACATATCAAAACAAACAAGCTTTACTCGACATGTCATTCATTGCTCATGCCTAGGTGTCTCATACTGCCATACAGAATGGCACAATCACCTTCAGCAGAGACAGATTCACTAACCTTCGCATATCAGATTCAAATTTTACTTCTGGTTTTTAGCATGCCTAGTTACTTCATTTATGAAGAAACAGTCAGACTCAGTTGATCAAATGCAGGGGCAATAGAATACACAGCACTAACATGGCCAAAAGGTACAGAAAAGGCAGGCACATCATTAAAGCAAACACATTAACCAGAGATGCACTAAAGATAAACCAATATCTAACTGAAAGAAAAAGGCTCGGTTAAAGGATATTTGGTTGATCTAAACAAGACAGCTTGGATCGCTCACTTTTCCGCGGGCTACTTCGTTTGGCAATTTAAAAAGCATGTTAGGAAAGGATACATATCTGGTCAGAAGCCTACAAGTTGAGTTGCAAAGGGGGGAAAAGGAATCAAGGGCCTTAAAAGAACATGTAAATTTCATAACAAATCGTATAAGTACACACTTAAGTTTCATTCCAAAGAAATTTTACATTAACGTTTCAATACACCTCACATCCATCAGTTTGTTTGTATGAAACGGAGTCCCAAAGATATATATATCTGTCATGTGGGATCCCCAAGCCAGCAGCCAAAATTTCTGTAGTTTTACAAAATTTGTAGCTGTTCAATACTTCTAAAGTTATGATAAAATGTGTCCAAATTTTCAAAAATAATTGTAAGAAAACAATATACCATTTTTCAAAAAAAAATCATCTATTTGAACTAAATATCCAAGCATCTTGAAGATTTAAAATTACCGATTATGATAGGCAACATATATGCCTACTCCAAGTTAACCATCATTTAGGTGAAGTCATGTAATTTTCATTTTTTTTCTTCATCAAATCTTAAAAAAAGGAAACTAAAAATTCAAATAATTAGTGATTACAAATTCACACGCCTCCGATTAAAATTTTATATTGAAATCCATGTTTTCAGAATGATACATTTTTTAAAGACTGACATTGTGAGATTTCCTCTGACATTATGCCAATAATAAGATGAAGTTAAATTCCACTGACAGGATATTTGTCTCGTGGCAGCACCTAAGGAATCCTGAAAATTGGGTCAACGAATTAGTGTTGAATCCTTGATACCTCCAAGTATTGGTTATTGCAGTTTGCTCATCAAATCGAGAGCAATTTGTACATCATATTCACCCCTTGTGCAAACTAAGAAATCTGAGTGGGCACTGAGCAGGCTCAACAAACATGCAAACTACACACCAGATAAATTGCATCCAGGACTGACGTACTGAACATCAAAATATCTATTAGCACTCAGCATCATAATAGCTTTGAGTGTCACAGACGTTAGCACTTGCAAAAGTACAGCTTCAGAACAAGGGTAATGGGAATCAATTCTATGAACTAAGACCGGGGCAGCTTTATTTAGCTCTTGCCATCCTGGCGACCTGACACATTCTTTAAGTTAGTTTAGCTCAAACATATCTTGAAAAACTACTGCAAAAGACAGGGACTTCGTAGCCCTGCATGAACGGTCATAACACTCTGATTCACTAGTGCCTCTCCCAATGAACAAGACAACAGAGTACAAGATCAGCCAAAAAGAAAGAAAGTAAAAAACACAGCCTAGCAGGAAATAAACATGTTGAGTAAAACATTAAGCTTATGTTGAACTTTCAGAGTTTCAGTATGCCGCAATGGATAGACAAAACCCTCCGCATTCATGAATCCCACAAAATAATGTCCAGCAAAAACACAAGGGGAAGATTGTTATCTTGGCCCTGACACTCGGCCAGAATCACCTCCGCATCGAGCAACTATGCCCCCAAACTCTCCTATTTGGCTATAAATTCTCTTGCACCGACACTATTCCAAGCTCCAGACTGGAGGAAATGGTCGTAGAAAAACAAGACAAGAAAAAGAAGCAAGCTTGGGGATTTACCTCTTCGACGGCCTTCTCCCGCGCCCTCTCCGACAGGCGTAGCGCCTTAATCTCCGCCTGTGCCTCGCCCAGCTCCCTATCCTTATCTAAAACCACACCAAAAACACCAACCATTTCGCCTTCAGATTCGAAAGGGCAGCGGCAGTCCACCACCCACGAGCGGGAGCCAGAGGTACGGCGAGCCAGGAACCAACTCACCCCTGACTTCGTTCTCGAGCCGGTTGAGCTCGACCTTGACGGGATCCGAGCCGTGCATCAGCGTGAGGAGCTCGTCGGCGTCCAGGCCCACCTGCGCCGCCCCGCGCCTGCGCGAGGAGCCCCTGTGCGCCGACGCATTCCCCTCCTCGCCGCCGCCGTCGGCCATCTCAGATCTGGGCCCCGGCGCCTCAGCCCACCATCCAAATCGCGAGCACCCCGGGTTCGGCGGTGGCCGCAATGCCGTCCGGTGGGGAACCCTAGCCGCGGTGTCGGGGCTCGGTTGGGGCGCTCTGCTTCGCTTTTGCTTTGCTTCGCGTGGGGTTTGTTGTCTTGCTCGAGCGAGGACAGCGTGTTTGAATAGCGGAGAGGGTGAGGGGGAGGTGCTCGGCGGATTTAAAGCGTCGGCTTTTCGGAGTGATTAGCAGCTAATTAATCGTTGAGCTAATCAAGCCATCGAGGTGGTTACTGGTCAGTGTGAGGACTGGGCAACAGCAGAGGAGGAGGGGAAGGCATTGGAATCTCAAGGTTTGGAAATAAGGTAGTAGGGGGAGATCATACATGAACATCAGTACAAAGAAAAACAAAAGTAAATATTACACTCTAGTCTCTTTGATTTGCATGATCTTCAAAACAATACAGGAAAACACATAATTATAATTGCATGTCCTCTTAAGTCCTATAGAAGGAGATCAGAAAGTGTTCGACCTCATGGAGAAAATAAAAGAAATGTAAAAGAGGTTTGAACAGTTAAAACATTCCTTCAAAATAGAGTGCTACCTACAAATTTTCCTAAAGATTCCAATCCTACGACTCAACAGACTACATAGGGGAAAATGCCTAGGGATCCAGATCCTCCAAAAGGAACCATGAAATTTCATTAAATAAAAGGACCCCCTAGGTGTTTCTTTGATTTGGAATATTTGGAACCCGAGACGTGCGGCCAAGCCCGAGCCCGAGACGTCTTCGTCCTCGGGCACCATTTCGGAGTCACGAGAGCCTGCAGCCCGAGTCGAAGCGGTGCCCATGAACAACAACAAATTTGTTAATGCGTTCTTCGACCTACCCGACCTTCTTCTCGACCTAAGGGGTGGCCTCTTCTGGTCGTCGGTCTGGCCGGTGGCGCGAGTGCGGCGACGACTGCTGCATCAGGCTCAGTGAGCCACTCTTGTGGGATGAGTAGGAGGCTGCGACGGTGGCTCCTCTTCGGAGCTCCCCTACTACTGCTGCTGCTAAGTCCTGTCTGATTCAGTAGCCTATGTGTTCGAGAAGATGCCAAAGAGACAGAGGGGAGGAGGAAGGAAAGCGGTCATCAAACTCCCTTGGTAGTTTTTTGCCACGAGATTAGCTTAAAGTGCTAATTTTTGGTTGACGTTTTTAAAATGGTAGTCTCATGGGACACAAACCCCCTAAAGTGATAGTTTTAAAACATTGTTAAATACTCATTGTTCCTTCTAGACTCAAACAAAAAATTATAGTAGTTATTATAAAACACAGACTTCCTCTAGTTCCTCCTCTAACTCTAGGCGGCTAGGGCAAACTCTTTCCTCCAAACTTCACCGCAAGTTTGTGGATTCGCCTGCCCTCTGTCTGCCGCTCCGAAGGCTGATGGCGGAGAGGAGAATCCCGGTGCCTTCGCTCCGGTTAGTAGTTTGTCTTCCAAGCTCCAATCCTTCTCGAGTTCTGTCTGGACATAGTCGACGAAGCTCCGACGTAGATTTACTAGCTTGTGCAGCCACACACATACCCGCGTCACCTCCTCGCACGAACTGGTAGTACAATTCATTTACATTGTAAATTTTCAACAACGCAGTTCGTAAAAAGTAATCCCACGCAATTCCTATCAAATTTGGAAATATTTTAATTTATTTGCGAGTTGTTTTGCATTTTTCTCTAACCAGTAGTGTCCCTTTAGTTAATATTCCCTCCGTTCATTTCCATAAGAAGTTACTCCATCGATCCATATTAATGTAAAAAAAATCTGAAAAATATCTATAAACACATTTTAGTGTGTTTGTTCAATCATTTTAGTCCATATTAAAAATTCCAAACATTTTATAAAAGTGAAGCGAAGGGAGTATCAAAATTCATTTTGCTATGTGGTTGTTCTATGGAATGAACGATTGTTGACGCTCTGGGATGCGGATTAACTGAGCTCGAGTCAACAGTACCTGAAAAAATAAAAAATAAATAAATAAAATCTTTTTTTGTTGTAAAATTTGACAAATGTTTTAAGTGCTTGCAAAGTTTTATCATAGAATAACATTTGTGGAAGTAGTGAGAAAAAAACTAAAATTAGCACCCCAAAAATAACTTTATTTTTTAGCATTGATTTTCTTTGCCATGATTTTCACGAATGTCATTTCATGATGAAATTTTGCAAGCATTAAAAAACATTTGTCAAAGTTTGTCATCAACAAATTTCAGATTTAGTAAAATGTTTATTTATTTTGGATTTTATTGTTCACTCCGCTTGTATGAGCTCGAGATGAGGACACTTTGGCTCGGAATAAACAATCTCATGTTGCCTTTTCCGTCGGCAGCTATATATACATGCACCTAATGCTAAGGTGAGTGTCATCAGAACCACATATCTGGGATTACTGTTCCGTGGTCTTCGCACCCAACCATAGCTGCCTAGCGACTGATGTGGATCTCTCTAGCCCGCAGTAGGTCGAGCTCGATCGCACTTGGCAAACACGTCTGCCGGCACCACATCACACTGCCAAGCAGTAGCACTCGTACCACTATTCGAACCCATCTGCCATCGCCAATGAATGGGCGTGAACGAGGGCGGTCATGTGGCAGCCATGGCTCTTTTTGGAGCGCATGTTGCTTTGCCGGTGGGCGTCGGAGAGCGACGCGGTGCACCGGTCGAGTCGTCCGTCCCTCTCAACGCAAGAGGACCGGGCTATTGCAGCGGCTGTGAGCTCACCCGTGCCAAACAGCGGGTGGTGTTGACGATGTCGGAAGGAACGGGAAGATCGGCTGGCTAGCTAGCTAGTAGTGTGCAGCGGAAGCGACCCTTGGGTGTGCACTGTGGTGGGTACGTTTACGTGCGCGTGTTGCTGTCGATGCGTGCTTCGCCACGCATGGTAATGGAGGTTGTGTGCTGCTCAAGACACGCTCGTAGGGAAGGAAAGCCTATATGCTAGGTCAAAAAAAAAAGCTGGCAGTGATGGCGCACTCGTGATTTGATCTGTCGTTCGTTAATTACTCCATTAGTACCGTCTGATGAACGCCCGGACTTTCCATTACCGATAATAATATCGCCATCATGGGTCATGGCTACCTAGTAGTGTGTTAGGGTTAATGGGATCATGTTGGTTTGTTAGTGTCCCATTGGCCCACATAATTGATCAAGGTGGTCATCAAATGGGAAAATGACTTGAGAGATTAAGTCGGGTCGATGGAGCCACTCTCAAGAAATTATGAAAGGCAGGTCGAGACAACTTGAAAGCGAGAGGTTGATTTATTTTTTTCAACACGGCACAATGCACATGCCCACATACACTCATTTTTACGAACGCACGCACACACACCCTCTTCCTATGAGTATCTTCGAGATACCGAACTGACACAACATCATCGACTCTGAAATAAATTCAAAAAAATGCAAACATCAGTGCCAAGTCTAAGGTTTGAACACTTGTGTGTTGGTTCCATCACAAGAAACCTAATCATCCGAGTTATACCGAATCCATGATAATCATCAGGTAAGTTAAAAACTTCAATGTCACGATGCTCGTCTCATCCAGCCAGTCAGCCACGGGCAGTACAACACATGGGCACGATACTTGAGAAAATCAGAGCACCCCAGCGCGGCCTCCGGTGCCCGAGAACGAGAAGAGAGAAAAAAAGCTAGCGAGGCCAGCAGGAGCTCGTGGGCAAAAGCGTTTATCCACCCCAACCCAACCCAGCCGATCAGAGATTGCCGGTTGAAAAGTTGCACCATATCAAGTTATCAACCGATACGGCTCCCTGGATCGACTGCCTACGTTGTTAACTTGTTATTCGTCAAGCTCCGGGCCAATACCAAGCAAATCCCAATGGAAGGCATCACATGCGTTAACGATCTTATTCGTTCCGTGGGTGGCGCAACGGCGATCGGGGCTCCGGGGAGGGACCGAGGGAGGGAGGCGACAGGGGGCGTCGGCCGTGGGCACTGCATGATCCAGCCTGTGATGGATGGCTAGATCCGTTCTTCCTGTTTGCCGTAGGCGACGCGGTCCTGCATGCTTCCTGCAAGCATGGACCAGGCGAGGTGGTAGGGAGCGCGAACTAGCGTAACGTCTCCACGCCGTAAACCACATAGTAGGAGTACGTGCGCGCGGGACCTCCCGATCCGTTCCCCGTACGTACGTGGTCGCGTCCGGCATGGTCCAAGCCCGCCGGCTCTGCCCCCGCCGCATTTACACGGTGTCGCCGTTCGCCGTCGCCGCCGCTGGTGCTATCTGCGCATGCATGTGCTGGTTGCTGCTCAGATCCGCATGTAGTAGTACGAGCTTAACGATATACATGATGAATGTGTTGATATGGTTTTCAAGATAAAATATTAAAAATGAAGTAGTATGTTGCCTCATATGTCGATTAGATTAAATAGATGGGCTGAGATGCTACAAAAAGTTAGTCACGTAATATGAAAATATATGTTGTGTTGTTACTAACGAGCTTAACGAGTTACTCGTGAAACTCGTTAGCTCGCTCGTTAAGCTCGTTCAGCTTAACGAGCTAAAATCAATGATTGGCTCTGTTCATTAAAAAGGGAGCTACGAGCTTAACGAGCCGAACTATCGAGCACTCATTAAGCTCACGAGCTACGAGCTTTTGGTCCAGCCCTAAGTAGTACGTACGGAGACCGAGGCGGTACGCAGCTAGCTGTGTGTCTGACATTCTGGCTGGCTCGATCGCGCGCGTGATGCCATCTTGACTTCTTGTCCGACGGCATGGCATCCGCATCCGCGCCCGTCCCGGCCACCTCGCCGTCTAGAGCTGCGGCCTGGTGCGAGCGAGCAAGGCAGAGCGGAACGCAAACCAGCGGAGGACGTCCGTCCGTCCGTC